CTTTAAGTTGTCGGCCTTGCGCCGGTATTACTTTCGGAATGCGTAGACCAAAAGGTGCTGAAGGAGTCGCTAGAGGCAGCGACCTCCAACCTCTAGTTGGCATAGTTTATGGTTAAGGACTAGGAAAACATCCTTGCGGTCCAGTTTGTACTTCTCAACGGGTTAAAGTTCTGCTCATGCCAATTACAAGACATGGATGCCCAGTTGTTCCTACTCTTCGTCACTACTTCCCCGCGTCGGATTGGGTATTTTGCGCGCTGCCGCGGTAGGCCCATACCCCGCCTTCGGAAGCTGATCGGTCAGAGACTTGCTACCATACTCCCCCCCTTCAACACCCAACGACTTTGATTCACCACCTCCAGCGCGTGAAGCCCAGGACATCTAAGGGTATCACAGGTCTGTTGTTGCGTCAAACTTCCTTGCGTTCGACACACAAATTCCCTCCGCCATCTAACCGAGGTCACATGCAACCATTTTTCGCGGGTTGATTCCACCAACTAGGCACCGACCATGTACCGCTACCGATAGAAGCAAGAAAGAGCTATAGCTATCTATCACTCTGTCAACCGTGACCTTGCTAGGGCCTGGAACGTTTCCCCGTGTTGAAATAAATTAGGGATGTATTACAAGTAACGATGTAGCAGGTATAAGGTCTCGTTCGTTATCGGTCCTAATCAACTAATCCGACAAATCGCTCCTCTAACTAACTCAGAGCGGCCATGCACCACCACCCACAGAATCAAGAAAGAGCTATCAATCCATCAATCTTTACGGTGTCTCGACCCGGTACGTCTCCTCGTCTTGAGTCAAACTAAGCCGCCCATCTTTCACGCCCCTCCCCGCCCCCAACTCCCCGCCGTGAAGGATCAAATATCATCGCTCACCTCCCTCTGCGAACCCAACGCCGCGCCCCGCCCCGCCCTGAAAGGCAAAATTCAAGCTCTCACCCTCCTTTTCGCCCATCCCCAGCCCCAACTTTCGATTCAAAGGCCCTACCACCCTTTTCAAACTCAGTATGGCATCCTTATAAAGCCCGTCGAAGAAGCACACTAAAGCCTTCTAAACGGCTTTAAGACCCGAATCCACCGAAACAGCCCGAAACTCTAATTCTAAATCCCTAAGCGGGGCTTAGGTTTGTTTGGGGTTTGGGGCTAAGCGTCCTAGTTTGGGATCTAGAATCACCTAAACCGAAGTCCCCAAGCCATACAACAAAACCCTAAGCCTTAAATCCAAGAGCCCCGCGGAACCCTTGTCAAACCCTTAATTCCAGCTGAACCCGTCAAACTTTCTAAGGCCCTTGCAAAACCCGAAGGGCCTTCATGATTAGACTATCCTCAGACTATCCTCGCAGGAACCCTACAGAACTTCCCAGACCCAAAGCCCGAGCCCTGGCCTCCGCCATACATAGCACTCTGATCACCATATACGCCTGCAGTGTGGCGCGCTTGCTTCCCTGGGTTGGGTGTGGGCCTTAGGGATTTAGAGATGCGTATTCTCTATCGTCACTGCATCATCGCACTCATTGCTGTCATTGTCAGTACTACTATGACTACTACAATTTACTACAATCATAATTGTCGCCATTGTAACAGCAGCAGGAGGTGAGGAGGAGCAGCAGCAGGAGCAGCAGCACAAGGCGCAGCACAAGCAGTATGAACTGCATCCGCATTATCAACGTTGATATTGGAGTAGTGGTTAGTCTAAATGGATGGGCCCCTCGTTCCCCCCTTCCGTTGAAGTCTTTACATGCAGACTCGGCACAGCCCATGCCTTGCATGCCAAAGTCACCGCAGCCACCGAAGCCACCGTAGCCGCAGCCATCGCAGCCGCAGCCACCGCCGCCACCGCAGCCTCCGCAGCTCCCGCACCCACCACAGCCGCCGAAACCGCCAAAGCCGTGCTGTAACAATCCCAGTCTTTCCCTTCTGACACTTAAATACGAGTGCCCCCCACCATCCCTATCGGCCATCACCTCTACTCTAGAAACCAACAAAACAGAATTGAGGTCGCATCTTCTTTTTCCGTGCTCATGTGTTCGCAAGGTAAATGACCTGGTGAGTTTCCCCGTGTTGCGACAAACTCAAGCCGCAGGCTCCACTCCTGGTGGTGTCCTTCTGTCAATCCCCTTAAGTTTCGCCCTTGCGACCATGCTCCCTCCATCTCCCTCCCGGGAACCCAAACACTTTGATTCACAACCTCCAGCGCGTGCAGGACATCTAAGGACATCATAGATCTGTTCTTGCCTCAAACTTCCTTGCGTTGGACACGCACACATAAACCGACGTTACATGAAACTCTTTAGCAAGTCAAGGTCTCGTTCGTTGACGGAACTAACCAGGCGAATCACTCCACCAAGTAAGAACGGCCATGCACCACCACCCGTAGAATCAAGACTGAGCTGTCAATCTCTCAATCCTCACTATGTCTGGACCTGGTAAGTTTCCCCATGTTGAATCAAATTGAGCCGCAGGCTCCACTACTGGTGGTGCCCGTCAAATCCTTTAAGTTCGTCCGAGACGGAAGCAAGACAAAGCAATCAATCTACCAATCCTTACTATGTCCGGACCTGGTAAGCTTCCCCGTCCCCTCTCCTGGCAGTGCTCCGTCCATTCCTTTAAGCCTTCAAGTTGTCGGCCTTGCGCCGGTAGTACGTTCGGAATCCGTAGACTTCTGGTCTCAAAAGGTGCTGAAGTTGTCGTTAGAGGCAGCGACCTCCAACCTCTAGTTGGCATAGTTTATGGTTAAGGACTAGGAAAACATCCTTGCGGTCCAGTTTGTACTTTTCAACGGATTAAAGTTCTGCTCATGCCAAGTACAAGACATGGATGCCCAGTTGTTCCTACTCTTCCTCACTACTTCCCCGTGTCGGATTGGGTATTTTGCGCGCTGCCGCGGTAGGCCCATACCCCGCCTTCGGAAGCTGATCGGTCAGAGACTTGCTACCATACTGCCCCCCCCCCCTCAACACTCAACGACTTTGATTCACCACCTCAAGCCCAGGACATCTAAGGGTATCACAGGTCTGTTGTTGCGTCAAACTTCCTTGCGTTCGACACACAAATTCCCTCCGCCATCTAACCGAGGTCACATGCAACCATTTTTCGCGGGTTGATTCCACCAACTAGGCACCGACCATGTACCGCTACCGATAGAAGCAAGAAAGAGCTATAGCTATCTATCACTCTGTCAACCGTGACCTTGCTAGGGCCTGGAACGTTTCCCCGTGTTGAAATAAATTAGGGATGTATTACAAGTAACGATGTAGCAGGTATAAGGTCTCGTTCGTTATCGGTCCTAATCAACTAATCCGACAAATCGCTCCTCTAACTAACTCAGAGCGGCCATGCACCACCACCCACAGAATCAAGAAAGAGCTATCAATCCATCAATCTTTACGGTGTCTCGACCCGGTACGTCTCCTCGTCTTGAGTCAAACTAAGCCGCCCATCTTTCACGCCCCTCCCCGCCCCCAACTCCCCGCCGTGAAGGATCAAATATCATCGCTCACCTCCCTCTGCGAACCCAACGCCGCGCCCCGCCCCGCCCTGAAAGGCAAAATTCAAACTCTCACCCTCCTTTTCGCCCATCCCCAGCCCCAACTTTCGATTCAAAGGCCCTACCACCCTTTTCAAACTCAGTATGGCATCCTTATAAAGCCCGTCGAAGAAGCACACTAAAGCCTTCTAAACGGCTTTAAGACCCGAATCCACCGAAACAGCCCGAAACTCTAATTCTAAATCCCTAAGCGGGGCTTAGGTTTGTTTGGGGTTTGGGGCTAAGCGTCCTGGTTTGGGATCTAGAATCACCTAAACCGAAGTCCCTAAGCCATACAACAAAACCCTAAGCCTTAAATCCAAGAGCCCCGCGGAACCCTTGTCAAACCCTTAATTCCAGCTGAACCCGTCAAACTTTCTAAGGCCCTTGCAAAACCCGAAGGGCCTTCATGATTAGACTATCCTCAGACTATCCTCGCAGGAACCCTACAGAACTTCCCAGACCCAAAGCCCGAGCCCTGGCCTCTGCCATACATAGCACTCTGATCACCATATACGCCTGCAGTGTGGCGCGCTTGCTTCCCTGGGTTGGGTGTGGGCCTTAGGGATTTAGAGATGCGTATTCTCTATCGTCACTGCATCATCGCACTCATTGCTGTCATTGTCAGTACTACTATGACTACTACAATTTACTACAATCATAATTGTCGCCATTGTAACAGCAGCAGGAGGTGAGGAGGAGCAGCAGCAGGAGCAGCAGCACAAGGCGCAGCACAAGCAGTATGAACTGCATCCGCATTATCAACGTTGATATTGGAGTAGTGGTTAGTCTAAATGGATGGGCCCCTCGTTCCCCCCTTCCGTTGAAGTCTTTACATGCAGCCTCGGCACAGCCCATGCCTTGCATGCCAAAGCCTCCTCCGCAGCCGCAGCCGCATTTCCAAAAGTCCTTGAAGGTCTCTATGAATGATTCAGAGGATTTGAGGGGTTTTGGGGCATCCTGGACCCAGAAACCTCAGCGCTGGCGAGGCTGCTTAACCCTCAACCCCAAATTACACCTAAACCGCCAAACCCTAGACCCTTAAACCCATGTTGCACTCAGCCCGTGCCTGCCAGAACCCAAAGCATCTCTGCTGCTGACCAGCCCCGAGCAGTAGCAGTTGAGGTGCTTTTCGGGGCTGAGGAGTGAGATTGTTAGGGTTTGAGGGGTAGGGAGTTTAGGGTGTAGAGGTTATGGATTTCGTGGCTTATGGTTAGGGCCGTTAGGGTGTGACAGTCGGCAGCTGCTGAGCGGTCACCACTGAGTGCTCTAGCCGGGGTCGCTCGGGAGGTGCAGACTATGGCTTCTGATAGGACGGCCCCAGCAGTCCTTCTACGAAACCCTACCGCACGCTGTTTTCCTCTTTGAGCATTCGAGGCTATGCAATGTCCATCATTGCGTCATTGCATACAAGCGTAAAGCTTGCATGTCACGTTCCCTCTTCCAAACTTCTTCACACAAACTTTTTACTTCTCCTCCACCACATCATCACCTAGAGGAGCAAGTCCATCTTGTTTTCGTCGTCTTGCGGATCTCATTTGCTCGTCCTCCACGATTCGCCATCTGTGCTGCATCTGGTAGTACAACTCGATCTCGCGCCCTCCTCCAGCCTTTGTCAGGCTGTTTGATAACTGAGCCTCTGAATGGACCCATCTGATCTGTAGATTGGTACTAGTTTGCGACTCTTTCAGTCCCAGTAATTCCAGGTCTGTTCGACGTTCAGCACCTTTCACTACTATCACTTCCGTGCTCAGCTTGTCGTAGACGTTCCTCGAGTCAGTCACGAGACAACCAATGGTTTCTTGAACCACTGCACAGCTATCTCGCACATCGCGCTCACCATTCTGTAGTTCGCTCCACTGGTACCGGGCGTAGAACAGAGCATCCTCTCCGTTCACTGCCGCAAGGGCTTCTGCGGCCCCTGGGGACCGACACACTCGATCCACTTTGGACGAATGCCATGCCATCGGCGACACGCTACCTACTGCGCCCTTGAGCATGGACTTCGGACCCAGGCCCACGAAGATACCCTGAGTACTGCCTCCATCCGGCCTGTTGGCGTTAGCAGCATCAACCCAGGCATACATTGCCAGATCCTCGCCCTCAGCGAATCCATGAATCAACATCTTATGATGCTTTCTCTGTTTGACATTAGCCGTCAGCTGATTAGTCTTGACGATCGTCTCCACAGTACTGGTCGAGACCTCTGACAGCAACAGCGAAACCTCAGCCGACAAATGGGGCGCAGTCTGTTGCGCCACCCAGCTTAGGCTTCCTAAAGCAGCTCGAAGTTGACTCTTTTCTCTTTCACTCGTGTTCTCTTTCCGCTGGCGTTTCCGCTGGGCGTTCAGAGGAATCTCACTCAGACCCTCCACGTATTGAGCCTGACTCAACGCGTAACCTCCAGGCACCTTTTCCACCTTCACCCCGCATTGAATAAACTCATCACGCTCCCAGTCACCCCACTTGAACCTCTCCTTAATTTTCCGAAGAATCTCCTGCCACTCCTGATCGTGATCACTTCCAGCAAACAAGAAGTCATCGACGTGTCCCGAAATGATGCCCCTCAATTGACCCCTGACCCTCCAAGTCCAGGTGCAAGCATCACTCCAGGTCCTTTGCAATCCCAGTCCTTCGAGGAACTCCGAGACCGATCTGTACCACTCCAAGGGAGCGTCCACCAAGCCGTAGCATGCTCGCTTCAATCGTGTGATGCTACCACGGGGAATGTTCATGCCATCACATATTTCGTCGCACGGTATGCAATGTAAGACGTCTGGGTATTCCCTGCCCTGCAAGAAAGCCCCTGAAACGTCTCCTTTATGAACAGTCCACTGTCGGTTCGCGGCTTGTTGGAGCAGCATTTGACGGGATTGTCGGGACATAACGGGAGCCGTGGTGCTTCTATGTTCATACGAAGGATCTTGATATCCTAAAAGAACCGCCCTAGCTTTGGCTTTCCTACTGCCGTCTTCCCGGTACTTCCACGTAAGAATCCACCTCATACCTATGGCCTGTTCCCGACTAGGCTTCAGGTGACTGGGGAGGCTTTCGAAGGCTTGGGAGGCTAAGAAGTTTTTCACTTCAGCCGCTTTGGCTGCAGAAAACTGGGCCCGCTCATCTTCGCTCAAGGTTTTCTCTCTCACCTCAATCGCCCTTCGCTTCATGGCCCCAACCATGTAGCAAGGAAGATCTTGCAACGCACGACTCCAGGACTTGGGGTTGTTAGGCAGCTCAATCTCAACTTCGACTCCGGCCTTGGGGTTCTGCCAGAAAGCCTGTTTCGAATGGCCCCACTGTTCTTCCTGAATCTGACTCCACCAACAGATCCCGGCCTCCTCGTGTCGTCGAGGACGTTGTCTTGAGCTGGAGGACGCGATCCTTTCCCCATCGGAGATGAGTTCCTCGTCCGAGTCTTCATCAACTGGCTGGTGAGCCGGTCTCTTCCCCCGGAACCTATATCGTGTGGGTTGCTGTTCCTCCTCCGGTTCCTGTGATCTCCACCACTCCATATCAGTGGGGCTCTCTCCTGACACGTCTTCATACTGATTCCCTCCTATCTGTTCCGAAACTCGTGAGAAGCTCCACGGGGTGGTATCCTGATCAGTAAGGGTTTCCACTAACTCTTCTCGTTGGGAGGCCCGGCGCAATTGTTCAACGCAACACTTGATCAACTGGCGGCCTCTAACGCACCACACCGTAGATCCTGGCTTCAAGGTTCCATCGGGGTTCCGTTTGGTTTCCATAGCCAAAATCCTAGCAGGACCCATAAAGTATCCGCGCTTTGTGCTGGGTCCTTGACGGTTCTTGGCTGAGTCCTGTTGCCTCCAGTAGAAAACCAGTTCTCCAGGATGATAATCCATCACGGGTCTACTTCGGGAGTTAGCCGCTCGTTTCAATCGCTGTTGGGCGTTCCATTCTGCATGTGCCTTCTCAGCCTCAGAACGTCTTCGAACCGCCTGTTGAAACTCCCCTGTAGGATTCTCAATTAACAACTCCGGCGGAATCGCCGGCGTGGCCACATCAATCCTGCCTGTCTCATCCGGAACCTGACCCAACACATGTTGAACTGGTGAGAAACCCCTGATCAGATCCCTCTGATTGAAAGTCCGAACAGCAGTGGCAAGGGCTTCCTCGGCTGAAATCGTGTCTTCAGAGTCGCAAACCTTCGACATCACTGTCTTAAGTCCTTGTACAGCTTGTTCACACACTCCAATCTTCCAGTGTGCCTCGCCCGGAACCAAGTCCAGATAGATCTCATGTCTATGGCAATAGTCGGAGATTGCTATGCTGCGGAAGTTTCCTGCCGGATCCAATCGTATGGTTCGGGGGTTTCCAAACATCTGGGCCCAACCCTCTCGCAAGTACGCCACGCAATCGGCTCCCGACGGTTGTTGTTTCGCCCCTCTAGACAAAACCTTGGCAATCCGAAACCTAGAACCCTCGTCAATGATGACCATGAACTGATGGTGTTCCCCCGTCTTGGGATGTCGCCAATGTCCAATGTCTGCCGACACTGTGTGGAATTTCGGTGGCAGTGGCTCCAGTGATGCCACGTGTCGTGGAGTTATTTTCCGTCGCTCTTCACAAATCGAACATCGAAACTCGGCAGCCAACTTGAGGATTTCGGGCTTAGCGTTTCTACGCTTCAAAGCATCCACCAAATGTTGAGTAGAACAATGTCCCGTGGCTGCATGCAACAAATACAACTGTCTCTTCAGTCGCTCCACTTCTTTCTCCCTGTCTCTCTCTCTCTCACTGTGGCTTGCCGCATAAACCTCATGAGCTGTTGGATTGGGCCGTGGCGGTAAAGGGAAACTGGCTTCACGCAACTGTTGCAAATCTGCTTGCGTCAAGTGGCTCAGTCCTCGGGTCGTGTAGGCCGAGAGCGTCACCCGGTCTCCACTCCAGGCTTCAGGTCCATGCCACGCTTTGGGAGGAAACTCAACAATCTTATGCCTAGCATCGTGAACCCTACCCCAAACCGTATCACCCTGAGGAGTCTTCCTGGCACTCAGGGGGCTCTGCGTGGGCACGTGAAGTCCCATGTCTCGGGCCTGCACCGTCTCCTGAACCCATACTCCCCCTTGTTGGTAGTTACTCACACCTATCACCAGGTTAGGTTGGGAGGTCTCGTTGTTGACGTCTTTGTGCATAGGCATACGATGGTTGTAGTTGATAACCAGCGAAGTCCATTTCCTAGGCTTCTCACACCGTTGCTTCACAAACTGATTGAGAAAACGCACGCACTGGGGAAATTGCTGGGTCCTTCGGGTCACTCCATACTGGGCTCCATATGAGAAGGCGCCAAAAGAGAAGTAGTTCGCCTTGTCCTCGCCTAGCTTACCCCTTCGTGTCAAGTGGGCCTTCAGTGGCATGGCTCCTAGAACTCGTTGACATGCTTCTAGACTGTAGTCTTTCTGAAGATTGAGGCTACGGGCCAGTTCTTCCGCCTTCTGAACTTCTTCCGTGTGATAGCCTTCTTCATCCCTGGGTTCGTGTTCGAAGTCTGGGACCTGTTCTTCCTGAACCGCCTGAGGATTAGGGTGCCCTGAAAGCCCTGAAACCTGGCTACTCTGAAGTCCTTGAAGTAAACCCTTTGCTGAAAGACAGGCTCCACAGTGCTCTGGCTTGTCCGGTGGCAGATCGTGGCACTGACATGTGAGTCCCTCTCCGAAGCTGTCCGGAAGAACTGAACGCCCTTGGCATTCCTGAATCACACCCTCCGAAGTAAGCTCCAAAACAACTGCCCTGGCCACTCGCGCTGCAAACTGTGGTGTGTACTTCGCACTCCTACTCGCGGCTTCTCCTTCACACTTCCCATGTTGATACGTCCTATGGCACGCACATGGTAACTGCAACGCCTCAGCAAGCTTAGCATGTGAAGTGATAAGCTTCCATCCCTTCTTCAGAAGCCTTTGGCCTCCAGTCTCACGCAGATTCACACGGCAGCCATGACACACAGCAACATGTGGTTGGTACTGTTTCTGCAAAGCCTGTAACACAGGAAGTCTCCACGCGTCAGACCTTTCCGACATTTCCCAAACGCAATGTATCCCTTGCTGCATGCAGTACCGGTACACTATGGCCGCTCCCGCATAGATCCGCTTCGCTATCGCTCTTTTTCTCTGCAGTTCCTCTCGCTGTGCCTCAGATCGGGCATTGGTGTGTTGTAACGGAGAAAACGGCCCACACGGTGGGGAAATCCACACCGTCCCGGGTCGTCCTGTGTTGATGCGTTCCAGCACCAGACGCACCCCGGCTGATGTACTTAGATCCGCGCCGTTCCAGAGCGAAACTCTTTCAGCTGCTCCGGTCCATCCTACACTCTCTTGAATCGTCGCTGAAATCAACGAATCCGAATCACACGCAACCTCCAGTAACACAGGACGATCGTAGCTCACTAAGGCCTGAAACAAACCCGGAACTATATCTCGCGACGACTCTTCAAGCTGACTGGCCCTCCCAGCACTCATCTGTATGCCTTGGGCCTCATAGTCTGAGGAAGGATCGGAGCCGCCGTGGTCTTCTACGGCTTCTCCACCTTGGTGTAGCCGTCGGACGTCCCCTCTGAGGTCGCCTGGCGCTCGCGATCCTTGCCGTCCTTCTTGCGAGGTCGTTCCTCTTTCATCTCGTTCATGTCCTGCTGGAGGTTCTGGATCGCACCCGCCATCTGCATGATCGCCTGGGCCATCTGGTTCATCTCGGCGCTCGTGGAGGTCGAGGAGGTTGCGGCCTTCTCGTCCTCGAGCGTGTTCATGGGGAGAGACAGCGCCTTCGAAGCGGGTCCGGTCTTCCGCTTGGGGGCTGCCTTGGAACGCCCCTGTGTCTCGCGATGCGGGGTCTCGTTCTCTGGGTCCACATCGGGAGGATTCTCCCTCAGCCACTTCGCAAGTCGCCGCAGTCGGTAATCGGCACCCGCACTCTCGGCATCCGTCTGGATCACCCACGCACGGTAGGATGCCTGGTAGCGATTGATCTCGAGGTACTGGAGAGCTGCATGCTTTCCAAAACCCACATAGTCCCTTCCGTCTGCTGGAGTGAGCTTGTGAGCTTGCTCCACGGCTCGGCGCTCCAGTTGGGCCACGGTTTCGTTGCCCGTGAGGATCAATTGCAGATCTCCTTCGCAAAGCTGGATCAGCGTGGCCTTCTTCTGCCTCGCCTGGTTGATGCGGTGGATCATGGTGCGCAGCTCCGTGTCCTTGTCGCCTCGGCGGCTGTTGGTCGCAAGCTCCGGCTCTAGCTCCACCAAGCGCTGGCGTAGTTCCACCTTGGTCCAGCGTTCGGGTGGGTCCTCTCCATGGTCTCGTAGCTTCTGCTGCAAGGCCTCCTTCTTCAGGGAGTCGAGGCTCATGTTGTCGAGTAGTCGCGGTTGGAGAGGATACTAGACTCCTGCTTGGGCCTGGAAAGCTGTCTTGAAATCGAACTTTCTTCTGGCTGTGCTCTTCATGTGCAACGCTTCCTGCTGCGGGAGGTTCGGTGGCACTGCCGACTGCCCTCAATGATGATGTGGATGTAGAAGAAGAGAAGCAAAAACGATCATCACTACCATCACACTTACTATCACTAGTTTCATGTTTGGAAGAGGTACTACGTACCCGGGACTGATGCTCAGTCTGTCCCTTGCCTGACTCTACACTCATGTCCTTCCACGGTCTTTCAGGCTCAGACAGCGGAAGGAGTTGTCCCTAAGGCAGATAGTCCTTAAGGCTCGGGATGGCACACTTGGCCATCACTGATGCTTCACACATGTTCCCGCTCAGCGGCAACAGTTGATGGCCGCTTTGCGAGCGGCGTGCTCTCACCAGTCTACAGGGGTCGATGGCCCGGAAGCAGACCAGATCTTCGGAAAAATCAATGATAGCCCCTAAGGACCTCAAACTCGCAACACTCAGTAACACTGGTCCATTTCCTTCATCAAGCGTATGGATGGTCAAACGGCCTTGCTTTTCGGCGGCCTGGATTCCCAACTCAATCGTGGATGCACAACGGTTCTCAGAACTATTCCCAAAGGAAAATGTTGGCTTCCGCTTCGGATCCACACTCAGAAGTCGAGTGTTGCCTTCCGTGGCGAGGTTCTTGTCGAGAACATTCTGAACCGCGTTGATGCTGCCCAAGGTGCGGGTGGCTCCGCCGTCCAACACGCACCAGCCATCCTTCACCGCTTGCTGCGTTGTCATGTAGGCTGAGTTTTCCTCCACAGCAAGCGCTTGCTCCGTGTAGCAAATGAAGGGAGCATGCTCTAGATCTTCGGGTTCATCGGCCATCTGAGCCTGTCCGGTGTTGTTCTCCTTGAGTGGACAGTTAGCCGCCCGGTGGCCCACCTTGTTGCACTTCAGGCATACCATCTGGCTGTCATCCCGAGGAAGCCCGCCGCGTCCTGAGCCGAACCCGCCGGGTCGACTCCCGCTGCTCGCCGAAGGTCCACTGTGTCTCGGAGGTCCATTCTTGAAGTACTGCCTCGATAGCTTCACTTGTTGCTGTCGAGCCCTTGCTTCCTTCAGCGTCCTCCGAGCTTGTTGGATCACTGCCATGGCGTGCTGCACGTCCTCCTCTGCCTCGATCATGAGAGCCTGGCCCTCCTCATTCAGGTTGTCCATCACATAGCTCTCCTGGAAGGCGGCCTCCTCGTCGTCCTCCTCAAGGTCCTCGCCCATGTAGCTGGCCTGCCCACGGGAATGTCCATCTCGCTGTCGTAGATTGTGTTCATCCCACTGGGACCGAAGCTCCTGTGCAACTCGTTGCAAGGAGTAGTCTCCCTGCACCGCTGTATGGATCATGTTCCGCTCGTTAGCGCTCAGCCCGCTGTCGAACAACAGGTACCAACCTTGGACGAAATCTGGTAAGATTTCCACCAGCGCACCTTTCCGCTTCCCTTCGGTCTTGTAATCGTAGTTCTCGCGCTGCCAATTCCAGCCTTGGTAACCTGTGTTCCAGTTGCTCCAAGTCCAACCGGAGTGCCATCCGCCCCATCGCCACTGATCATCAGTGGCTTGCGTCGTGGTCTCATCGCCCTCTTCGGTAGCCTCTTGGGCCGCTGCCTCACCATCCACGGGAGTCGCGGGTTGCCCAGCTCCTGTACTGTTCATGGATTCCACGCTGACTCGTCGGCTCCACGGTTGTTCGCCTTCTGCCGCCGACCATGAACTCCTCGTGCTGGTGCCTTGGTGAGGTAGGACTCGTTGAAGGGCTTGTTGGGCTCGTAAGTACGTCTCGCACTTCCGGGTGATGTAGTCGGGCATTGACTCCTGGCTGCGGCGTCGGGTCTGCTTGAAGTAGCGGGTAAGGAAGTCCGCCAACTCTGACACCTGAGGCTTCCCCAAGGAAGCCCGCAGCGTAGAAAGCAGCACGGTCACCCCGCCGTCATAGCTCACCCAATCGGGTCGTCGCCCAACCACCAGCCTCTTGGCTGGCCCTTGAAGCTCGCTGATAAGCCTCGGAGCTACCATGTAGCGCTTGTAATACTCCGTACTCTGTTCATACAGCAGACACTGTTCTTCATATTCGTTGAAGGTTGCACTGTCCCCTGTCCACTGGGGTACCCCGTCTTTGTTCTTGGTGATCGCCCCGGTCGCCGACATATCTATCTGCTTGCGGCCTCGCTGGCAGCTAGCAGCTCAAAACTCGCCCTGGATCTCCAAGCTCTGTCAGATTGGATGCTTTCACCTCCTGTGAAGGAGGCTCCGCTACCGTGACAGTCGGCAGCTGCTGAGCGGTCACCACTGAGTGCTCTAGCCGGGGTCGCTCGGGAGGCGCAGACTATGGCTTCTGATAGGACGGCCCCAGCAGTCCTTCTACGAAACCCTACCGCACGCTGTTTTCCTCTTTGAGCATTCGAGGCTATGCAATGTCCATCATTGCGTCATTGCATACAAGCGTAAAGCTTGCAGGGTGTGTGGGATAAGGGAGGTTACGAGAGCAGCTCCCGGCAGCTGAGGCACGGCATTGCCACCGCTGACGTCGATTGCCCAGGAAGAAGCCACGTACCTGCTGATTGGGCTTGGGGTTTAGGCTTAGGGTTCTTGTTAGAGAGCTTATGTTCCCTTGCCATAGTAGGGGAGGAAGGCTGTTTCCGATATCTCCGAATGACGGTAACTTCTTCCTGAACAAAACCCGGCAAACGAGCTGATCTTCCCAAGTGCCAGGCAAGGACGACTAGGATCCGTGTGACTCGTGCCGAGCTTCTGATGCAGTAGCCCTGTATGGTCTTGGAAACTCTTTGATCGAAGGCCATGGAAAAGACGGCTTCGGGTTCAAGGTCTAAGGCCTTGGGCCTTGGGGCTCAGGGTGTTTTCTTCGGGGAAAGCAGCTCAAGCGAGAAAGCTTGAACCCACAGAATTCAACCCACGCAAGGGCACTGTCTCTCGCGGTCATCCCATTCTGCCTGACGAGAATGGGTGTAGGATTTAGGTTGGGCCCTGGGCTCAGAACTTTTGGGGCTCAGGATGGGTAGGCCAAGACAATACTGATCTGAGCTCGTGCGCCAGATCAAATTCCAACAGCACAAGCCATAAGCATGTCGAACCCGAGTAGCTTAATGACAAAGGGCATCACGTCCGCAAGTGATTTGCGGCATCAATCAAGTCATGCGCATTGGCGGTAGCATGCATCCAATGGTGAGCTACTTAGAAACATTAGGGCATATAATATGACACGCTGAGCAAAGGAGCCTCGTAAGTGACTCGTTCTCCGCCCCTGAGAGATTCACGGTCACCACTGAACTGCGAAGTATGCCTGGCAACAGCCCGAGGCCTCTTTCGGGCTTCTGGATCCTAGGAACTTCGGGCTCAAATCTACGGGGAGCACTCCAAAATTTCTTGAGCCCCGATATGAAGTATGAAGGGGTGTTTCGGGCTGTAGGGTTTCTAAGTTTTTTTGCCACCGGCCCAGCTGAACAAAGTCGCACCGCAGGGTTTTAAGTTTAGAGGTTAGGCTTCAAGGCTAAGGAAATGGAGCCTGGCTTCAGGTTTCTAGGATGCCGGTCTCTGGGCATGTTCGCCCCTGGACGCAATGATGCTAATTCTAGCACTAGTCAGTCTCCGTTGATTGAATCTCGGTTTGCGCTTTCCTGGTCGCCAGGCCCGTGTTGGCAGTGAGTCTATCCAGAACTCCAGAACCCACCATGGCTTCCCTCAGCCCTGTAAAGCCCTACAACTCGCCAAACTCCAAGAGCTCTTTGCGTCCCGTGGTGCGCAAAGACGCTGTCGCCGCCACCCTCGTCAGGTATGATGACGCCGACGCCCTGTGCAAGCTAGGGTCAGTCAGCTAGAGCTGCACTTCCACTTTGAGTTACTGATACTGTTTATGGGCAAAAGTCCTGCGCTAATCTGCGGAAGTGTTGGCGTTTTGCAGGTTGGTTCATCAGCCACACCACCGGGCTTTACGCAATTCACCCGCGCTCCCTGCACCTGGCGGATGCCGAATATCTGCAATTTGCCAGTCGGCATGACGAATACCTGAGATAGTGAAAGTCACAAGACTTACACAACGAGCCCAGTATGGCTCCATGGAGGAACATAGATTAATTAGTGATCCTCGTTCTCATTGCGGCTGGGGGATTTGGGATCGTAAGCTCAAGTCGCCGGCCGAAAATGTTGTCCAGCTCCACCTTGAGCCGAAGAGGCTCAACTTTGTGTCGTCAAGGTACAAGCTGACAGACGAGATGATGATTGATGCATGGGGGGAACCCGCAAAAAGAGCGACTGAACTTTGCTGAGGCAACAGAGTGCCGGTCTTCTCAAAACAATTGCAGATTGACCGAGGGTAGGGGTTCACAGTTGTGTTTGGGGTCTTAAAAGAAATCGCAACGAATGGCGTTCTTAAAGATGCTTCTCCAACCATGCCTGGGCTTTCGGTGGCTTTAACTACGCCATGACATGTCACTTGTTCGCATGCAAGCGAAGCATGCACGCTTGGCCCCCTGTTAGGGCCGAAGGAATAAGGAACACACTTCCGCATGAGGGCGCAGGGGGGCCTGGCAGTCAGCCAGGCCGGCGACTAGAGGCAGACTTGTACTGTCATGTCGCATCCTGCGTCTGAATTACCGTGGAACCTACAGCAACAGAAAGAGTCTCAGCCTGAGGATCATGACGTTGGCCCCAATCCAGGGATACGTCGCAGGGCTTCGCAACGCTTCTGAAACCCCGGGCGTCGTACTTGCAGCCGAGTTCGTCCAAAAAACTGGGGGAGGTATTCCTTGCTGTGGCAGTTCACGTGGCCGTGACTGCCGTGACTGCCTTGTTGCAAATGTGCCCTCGACAGAATCAGCCCCTTGCGTGAAGGTTGGCAACGACCTCCTTCTCAGCTTCATGTGGGATGTGCTCGCCAACCTCAAGAGAGATGACCCAATCCTCAGTTTGCTGCCCCAGGATAAGAAAAAACTCCAACCTCCCTCTTCCACTCAAAAACGCTTCAAAGCATGAGAAAACGAAGAAAGGCCCGGGCTGATCTGCCGAGAAACAGACACGGCCATATCCATCGGGTAAGAAAGATCGGCGAAGCGCACGAAACCTTGGGTGAACTCTTCCGCATTTCCGGCTCCACCATATCCACGATACTGTAGATTGGGCAGCACGGCGCGAAGCATGTGTCCTGCCCAACACCAGCGCCACAATCTGTGACCGAGTCCCCAGCTTTGAAACACCAGTTTGGCCAGGCCGGTGGCCAAACCCTTGTCGAACTCAACATGGAAGTGTGGCAGGAGCCAGTTGGCATCAGAGGAGTCTCCCTTCTGCATCTGCTTGGAAGCCTCCGCGAAATAGCACCATCCGCCAGACTTCAAGATGCGCTCTTCCAGGGCTTTATTGAAAGCAACATGAGCCCGCCCGCCCATGCCCATGCCAATCTATGCCCCCATGAGCTCAAGAGCAACATGACATGAGGAAGGGAGCGCACGCCCCTGCGAACGCACGCGTGAACTGGAAAACTGGATATCCTGTCTGCGATCTCAAGCACTCAGCAATGCACAGCGCATGCAAGAGTCTTCCCTGTCCTTGCTGTTGCACGCTGCCAGGGCCTGATTTTGCAGCACCTTCAACGTGGCAAGAGAGAACGCCTCAGTTATGTTGGAGATCAAAGCGATGCCGGACTTCAGTCTTTTGGGCAGTCTTGGTCCCAGCCACAGCGGCGCGAGCCACCAAAATCCTCCAAACTCTCCAACCTCCAGGTCACACATTTTCCGCCCTCCGGTAGACTGGTTGGGCAAGGGCAATCCGCAGACTCGGAGTCGTCCTCCTCCTCGAGCTGTAGGATGGACTCAGAAGAGCCTCCGAACGCCGCATGTGCCAACTCCGAATGCCCGATCTTTACTAACTTTCAAAGAGTTTGTCTGTGGGAAACGCAAGCTCTTCGGTGACACTGCCAAAACGCCCAACTGCTTTCTCCTTCTGCCCCCCCACCCCACCCCCCCCCTCGCCCCAAACTCCCCCTGCCTTTCTCGAGCTTTGCGGCAACCTGCCTCCAGCGATGAGACAAGCGGCGATCCAAAGCCATGTTGACGGCCTTGACGTCCGCCAGGAGGGTTTTATCCTTACACACTCGTTCCCAACACCCGAAGTAGCTCAAGCTCGCCCAACAGAGCCCCGAGTTACTGCACAGGACACATGTACAAGGCAAAAGGGATGCCAAAACTTAAGCTAAGCATCCAAGATGTCCGGCTTCTTCCCTTTCGCTCCTTTGATGAAGGTCCCTTTGGAGGATGTGTTGCGGCAGTGCGGAAGGATCCGCAAGGATGTTCAAAAGATGCAGAGCACCAGCCTTCCTGTCAGATTCCTGAAGCTCATTAGGGCCTGGCAGGGACAAGCAACGGAGGATGCCCAGCAGGAGTTCCAGCAGCTGCATGGGGGAGTCAGTGAAGAAATACCGGTTCAGCATCACCAAAACAATGAGGCCTTGGCTACGATAGAAATTTAGACCCAATTCCTGCACTGCGGCATCAAACTCAAGAGCAGCTGCAGTTCAAAATTATGCCGGGAGTCGCTTCCAATCCTCTCCGAGATAGACCCGCGTCACGAAGTCTTTTTGCTTGGCCGGCCAGCTCAGCAGGGTGCCCACGTCTGTTACCCAGCCCTCCAGCGAGTCCAACGAACGTAGCCACTGCATCCTGTACGCCACGTATTCCTCGCATCAGGACGCACGCAGAGATCTGCATGACATGCTCCGGAAGATGGGGCTCCAACGTGATTTATGACCTCCGGGCCTGGGTGGGGATGATGTTTCTGGACGCAGCGCGAAGCGATAGCAGGTCGTCGACAGGAAGATATGTACAAATCTCCACGCAGTTCCTCAGCTCCCAAGAAGCTCCATTCGTCCTTAAGCCCCTCATGTAAACTTTTCTGCGTTAGGAGCGGCTCGGCGCATGTCTGCCATTTTTCGGAGGGAATGTGTTTCTTGACCTGCCATGTGTAGCCAAATCAAAGCTGAAACCCGCACACTCAAGATCATGTAGTCTCGCCACTGATGACTCTGCCTCCGTATCCACAATGCCAGCACATGTCTCCAGAAAGAGCTTGCCAGCTCTATCACTTTCCGCCTGCTCGCACTCCCGCGTGGTGACACTGGCTGGTTTTTGCTCTGAACTGCACGCGCACTGCCTGTCTGGGCGAAGCCCCCGAGTTGAAACCACGGACACAGCCGCAGGCCACCGATGTCTACGCCACCCGCCGAACCGAAAAACAACCCGCGACAACCATCCCAACCTGACCCAACCCCAATTCCAGCATTCCCACGACCAGGATTCTGGAATATTCTGGATGTCAACTCCGTGCTGATTCCATGATTCTGGCGGCTGATTACTCTCGCGACTGGTTGCTGGTCGCTGATTCGAGATTCGGGCCTGGTCCTTGGTGATTTGGCGAACGGCTTCGGTCGCTTCGAAGATTCTGGTCGCTGCGAGGCGCTTGTCTCCCTTGAAACTCTGCTTGGTGCACGCAAGAAATCAAGCGCAACAAACTCTGCGCGCGCATTCCCGCCTCGCAAACTTCTTGGGGCCGTGCAAGCGGTGAATGCCTGGCTTGCCATGTCTTGGCTACTCCGCAGGTTGTACAGTATGCTTGCAAGCTTGCTGGGGCGATCACGAGCGCAACTCCATGTCATGTGCTCGCACCTTGGTACAAGTGCCCCACAGCCAGAACCGCACAACACGGTTCATTCGCAATGGCCTCGGCCAAGTCGGCCCAGCTTGCTTCGAACTGGTCTTCGAGCGAGAGTGGCGTGCTGGTGCTCGATGCCTGCGCAGGCAATCTGCACCCAAACGACAGGACCTTCGTGGTTCTGGACTTCGTGCCTCTGAAAGCTCGGCGCTGGATGCTAGAGGAGGCGCCTCAGAAGAATGTAGATAGTACACAAGGGGAGAATTCGAATTCTGTGAGCCATCGCCTGTATGTCGTAAGCATCTGTCTGTGACAGCAACACCCTGGACACAAGAGCCTCCTCGTCATCCACATCCATCCTGTACTTGTGGGTGGCCTGCTATCACTGACGCTTCTGTGCCGAGATGCCCCTGAGCGCGCTTCACAGGCTACAATTACTTCATGTTATTTCTGTCCGCCTGTCGCCTGCGTCGCTGCTGCCTCGTCGCAAGGCCTTAGTTGAAAACGCCCGTTGTAGAGCCAGAGCGCCTCTGCTAGCGGCTAGCGTTGCTTCACGGAGAACTCAAAGCTCAGATCACAACTCTCTGGCACATGGAGCCCTTTTTCGACCAGGGATTCCTCAGCTGCTGCCATCTTTGCCACCTGTCAGTCACGGATGATGCGTGACAATTGAGACCATGACTGGCCAGGCATCAATCCATACGTGTGACATGTCATCAAGCGCCAAGAACCGTCGGTAAAGCATTAAAGCGTCACCTCTACCATGCCAAGGGCCATGCGACCCAGACTCGCTGCGCAGTGTTCGGGCCTAACACTGCATAACCGAGAGTCCAGGGAGCCCTGCCTCCCTCTTCTTAATCCCCCCCAAGGCCGAGACTTGCCCCCATTTCGCCACCCTTCCGAAGCGCTACTCGCTTCTTTGGCTGCTTCTTCAGCGCCGGTCCCGGTCGGTGCCAGCGGCAGCCCGTATACCAGTGGAATGTGTGGAACGACTCGCGTTGGCTATGGAAGTCTCCGAACTCACAAACATCCAGCCAGGCGTTCATCATGACCGCAATTATCATAAACCGGCCAGCCCCCCTTCGCCTGAACCCCCGCCGGCAGAACAGATAAGAGGGCCAAGATATATACCAAACGCAGACGACAGGGAGTTCTAGGCTCTCCAGGCCAGCCGGTCTCCGGGGGCGTGACGTTGGGTTTCAACGACTCTGCAAAGCTTAACTAAACAGGGTGGGGGGGGGTCTCCGTGACTCGGATGAATTCTAATAAAGGATTTCTATGTGACCCAGATAGACTCTACCTATTCCTGCGCTGTGATGTGCCACTTTGAGGCTGCAGCACATTTGTCAGGCGTCTCGCAATCCTGGCTCATCTGTATGTGCTAACGACTGCAGCCAACGCATGCGAACTGCAGCAAGCCCTTGATGCAGTTCCTGCGCCCGTCGATGCGGAGGTGGAGTGTGCACAAGGTCCTGGCGGGAACCAAACATTGCCACATAGCTGACTACTGAAATCAAACACACGACGCACTGACTTCGTTGCATGATGACGTCCACTCCAGCATGTGGCAATCCTTTGCAAATCTCCTATTCACTACCCTGTGGTCCCCGTCCTCCTGCCAGCAGTTCGCCTAGCTCGTGCCAACATGGCTTCAAACGTACGTGACAACTGCACTGATTCGAAGAAACAGAGACAGATTGGCTCCAAGAGGAGTAGGAGATGGCAGCAGCCCGAAACACAACAAAAGTGGGGGGGTGGGCGACCTAGAATTATAAGAAACACATTGACATTGGTTTTCATGCCTGTTGATGCTGCGTTGTTACACGTTGTTGATTTCATGCCGGGCGCGGCGGCAACTACGAATTACAGTGGTGACTGGTTTATTGCAAGAGGCAGCCGAGTACAGGCTTTGTATGTCGAGCGGGCGGTGCTGATGTCGACTCGGAATGACTCGGAATGGCGGGCCTTGCGACTTTCCCAAGCTGCACGTAGACGCGCGGCTTCTGCCCAGCCAACCCATAGGGGTGGGTGCAGCTGCTTCGTTTGGCATCCCTGGCCTAGATGCTTCGCAAGTTTGTGCACCTTTGGCGGCCCCAAGATGTGCTGAGTACGTTCAGCTGTGTTTTGACGGTAGCTGTGCATCCTTTTACAGCCCCCCAACACACAAGAGCAACCTGACGAGAACACGTCACGGCCGCCTTCGGCTTGCAGAGGGTGTCCACCAAGAGCTGCTTGACATCCTTCAGCAACTCTTGGCGGAAGACCGCCAGCTCCTGCAAATTAGACAAGATGCCCCCCCCTGGGCCAACAGCTCTGAATGCCCACCTGGTTGAGCAGCAGCCTCATGTCACCCTGCCGTGGACAGAACAGCTGGACGTCAATTCAGCCGCGAAACCCTCTGGGAGCACTCGTGCTGTGACCTGCATCGCTCCCACAGCTGCAGCTTCCGGCGAAGTGGGACAGCCGTTCGCGACGCCAGAAGGCTCTTGCGGCCAAAGGAGTGTCCACATGGCAGCTGAAGGCTTAGCGCCTTTTCACGAAGGCCCAACGTGCTTTTTCTCACTCCGTCGTTATTGCGTTGCCACAGCAGCCCTCATGAGACACATACGCATGCTGCATGCTCCCTGCAGCTGTCATCAGGGACCGATCATTACGGTTGTAGAGGTATGCAATCAACCTCAAGCTCTGTAACGGCGCTTCACGCTGCCCATGTGAGAAACTGCGAAAGCTTTGAGGTCGCTGCGGGCATGCATTTGTGAAGAGGCCTTGCAGGCGGCACAGACATGGACATGTGCACCAGCCCAGATTTGCCAAATATTCCCGTTTCGCGGAGGTCCAAAGGCCTAGGGCTTTAAGGGATGCTTGCAAAGTCTAGTTTCAAAAGTCAGAACGCAATCGGAGCCAGGTTTTTTTTTGCCTAGCAGGGTTGGGCCGCACCACCTTTAAGGCACAAAGTCATGCTGGGGTTGGTCCAGCAGTGAACATTTTCGCGGCTGGGAGTTGTTTTTTTCGCCTCGAGCACTGCACCTTGCTTCGTATAGCTTCAAGTCAAAAGTTTCAGACTGAGCCCGCATTGGCAGATGTTCCGCCCTTGGCTCAAGCTGCCACGCTGGTTCAAGCCGGCTACGCCATCTGTGGAGTGGTAGTAAAAGTGGGAGGCCGTAAACTAAAGGATTTTGGACCTCTAACTTCGTAGGAAGCCCTCACTTTGCTGCGCCCACCGTGTCCAGTGCCTGAATGGCGCTTGCATTGCGCAGAACAAGCCTGGCTCTGTAAAGACAAGCTTAATCGCAAGCCCGAGGGCCTTTGAACCTCGGGTAGGGTATAAGTTGCCAGTTTCTATTTGGCACTTCCTTATCCGAGTGCTAACGCTGCCTCGTCTCTTTGCAAGATAAGCCTTTCTTGGGGAGCCTTGTCACCTGCAAATCGCTTTGTCAGCAAAGCTAGTTATAAGAACAAACCGAAGCCTCACTTGGGGGAACCCTTGTTTGCTGGGTTTGGCTATTCTGAACATTCCAGGCCAAAGAGGCCAAAGCGGGTCGTTTCTCTCACAAGCAGCCTTTTCCATCGATAATTAATAACCTGTCACGTAACCCTGCGTAAGTTCAGCGAACGTTGTAGTATGACGCCTGCACAACGTCGGCTCAGAAGTATCGCTAAGGAGCTTTATCGCTTTGCCTTCAGTGTGGCCAAGACGCAATTCGAATATGTCGAGGTCCGATTTTCCACTTACCCATCGGTCGTTACCATCGAAGCAAGATGGCCATGGGAAGCGCTATGTCGGGACCTTTGAGGTCAGAGACATAACTGGACTGAATCCGAAGCCCCGTGGAGGTTTGAGCATTTTCTGCGCTCACTACACCCTACAGTGCAGAAGTGGGACGCAAAAGGCTGAGTCGGCTCTGGTGTTTATGAGCTCCATTTAGGTTTTGCCTGTAGCTAACCTGGGATGTAAGGCTTGTTGGCAGCTTAGTTCGGGTTTACGGTTTAGGATTTACGGCTTGTTTCAGGCTTGATTAGGCTATTGGTTATGTAAGGTTTGGGTGTAGAGGAGTGCTATTGCTCGTATCACACCAAGCAGAACCGAATTGTTGCAGACCCTCGCAGTGTATATCTCTGAAGAGAAACTTGAGGCAGAAAGACTCTCATGAGACGCCGTTTCGCCAATGCTCAATCGCAACAAACGACCACTAAACCCCTCCTGAACCCTGGAACCTCGAACCCCAAGCCGAGCAAACTCTAACACTCTCACACGCCGAGAACCCGAAGGCCATTTCTCTAACACCCCAAACGGATACAAGCTCTCTTAAGGCCACCGACGACTCCCTATCAATTTTGGAGCCATGAATCATCAAGCCTAAATACCCCACATCTAACCCTGGAAGCATCGCTGCGGCAAGGGGGGTCCACTAGAAGCCTGAGATTGGGATGTTGGGATTTCAGAGTTCTGTAGGACTTCGGGAAGATGCTTGTGGGAACTAAATGCTTGCTGACTTCGAGGGATTGGGACAAGTTTGAGTTCACAGGGTTTTGTTTGCAAGTGGGTTCTTGTAAGGCTCGTCGGGTGCTGTAAAGTTGCGTGGGTTCGGGTTTGGCGAAGTTTCGACAGTGAAACTACCTCTTTCCGCAACCCAGATGCAGAAAAGCGCCCGGTCATGAAATTGTGTATGAACTAAGGACTGGAAAAGTGGCTTTCCATCTCACGCGACGTTCCCATCTTGCGAATCGCAACCCACAGCCACAAGCCAAATCAGCATGAAGGACATAACCATGTTGTGCCTGTCGCTCCTCCCTAAGACTAACCCTCGGCATTCACAACTTTTCCGCATGCCTCAGAAGTAGACGAGTGCAGCGAGCCGTCTTTTGGGGCCTAAAAGAAGCAGCAGCTCCAAGAAGGTCAGCTTCACAAAGGAGAGCCCGTGACCCTGTGAAGGGAGCATTCCCAAGCTGCCTCTTGAGAGGCACCAGCAAAATCCCAGCAACTGCTTCGGGCGGGAGGGCGGGCCACAATATCTGCGTCACGCCGGCAAAACATGAGGGAGCATGTTGTGCCTGTCGCTCCTCCCTAAGACTAACCCTCGGCATTCACAACTTTTCCGCATGCCTCAGAAGTAGACGAGTGCAGCGAGCCGTCTTTTGGGGCCTAAAAGAAGCAGCAGCTCCAAGAAGGTCAGCTTCACAAAGGAGAGCCCGTGACCCTGTGAAGGGAGCATTCCCAAGCTGCCTCTTGAGAGGCACCAGCAAAATCCCAGCAACTGCTTCCACCTTTGTTCATGGCCAGCCGACGTAGGCGGCGCGCACGCCGCGAGGGCCGTAGCTGTCGCAGGCCCGGATGCGGACACGAGGGGAGCCTCAACGGTCAGTGGTTGCTCCGGCTATGTACGGGTACAATGCCGAGGCAGCTTGAACCTTGCATGCGAGTCGAAGCATCATCCAGAGAAGCCAATGCCGTGATGGCTCCGACCTCTTGCAGATAATACTCCAACGTAGCTTGGTGCTTCAGTCTCATCCTCCACTGGATGTCTGCTATAGGCATCCCATTTCGGTACGCCCACACGGCGCCTCCTCCGCGGAGCCCTCCTGGGGTGAGCCGAAGCTGAGGGTCAACAGCCAGCAACCCTAGGAACTTGTTCCATCTGTACCTGTAGGCAGAAGGGGTCAAAGGAAAAAGTCTCGCAGCTTTCGGCAGGGCAGAGAAGGCTCGGCTTATGCAAGCAACCGCCTGCAAATCGTCAACCTTCAAGTGCTGCACTCTGCCTCGCCCTCGCGTCGACGTTTTCGAAGATCCCAGCCGAATGTAAGCGTGGTCACACTGTCCCCAGAAGTCGTCAGCAGGAAGGAGTAGGTCACTCCTGGTAGTTGCCAGAACTTCCCCTATCCTTCCCATTCCATAATATGCCAGCAGAGTGATCGCTGCGAAAGCTTGATTCCCTGAAAACCACGAGAGGGCCACGAGCGCCTGCAGAATGGGCAGTGGGATCGGCACCCTGTGAGCAGGAGGCTCGAGGTGCTCCCATCTGCTCACCAGTTCCCACACCACATTTGCGTAAGGCTTCAAGTTGAGATACGCCCTTTGCGCAGCCAGAATCGTATGCCTCAGCTCGTGGAGGGTGCCACCGGTCTTGTACAGCCAGTTCCCGTAAGCTCTCAGAGCCATGGCGAGCAGCGCGGGCGAGCGGCTAAAGACTTCAGAGGGGAGAAAAGAGACAGAGGAGGAGAGCCAGACCAGGAACGACGACCAAGCCCTATCCCCCAAAGCCCTGGAGATCCCTGAAAGCAGCGGCTGCGCCTCCAAGTCCAATCGGCAGAGGGCGGCGGCCAGCTCACGTGTGGCTCGCGCCGGACGCTCAGCAGCAACGGCAGTCCAAGAAAGTCCATGGGCGGCCGAGCGCCCTCGCAATCTCCTGTGTTTGCTCTGGCAACTGCAAAAGACCCGACCTCCCCTCATCTCAGTGTTCGTAGCTATGCGGATCCTGTGGCGCCACGGGGTTCCGTATCTGCAGGAGTCGAAGCGCAGGACCTCGGAAGAGTGAGTTCCAAAGCGGCTCCACTCAGGAAGCTCCCACAGCAAAGAGCTGTCGGGGTGTTCGACCCAAAACAAGCCGTGTCCGACACGCTCGTAGTCCTGCAGCAGCACAGCAAGTTTACTGACAAAGAAGTTCTCGTTCTCAACCTTCCTTTGCGCGGCTCCCGGCAAGCCCGGTAGTCCAGCAGGCCAACGGTGTGAACGGCAGGCCGGGGTAACAGCACAAGAGAAAGAGCCGGAGAGAGGCGAGGCTCCAAAGACAACGAAGCCCCCAAGTCGCACAGCGAGTTGCAGCCAAGTCCAGGCAGTAGGGTTCAGCACGTCCAACGGAGGCGCCAACACCCACGGAAAACCGGCTTGAAGAAGGCGACGCGGCAGTCCATGGTTTTTGGCCGACAGGTGAAGGCAGCCAGGACGGTGGAAGTCGAGCACACCGCCTGGAGGCAAGAACCAATGCCTAGGAAGGACAGTGAGGAGGCCGCCCCGGGAGGCACCGCTGCCAGGCGGGAGAGTTCGCGGCACTTTGGTCACATCGAGCTCGGCACCAAGGCGAGCCCGCCGCTTAGCCTTCCGCTTCTGAAGGCCGTTAACACCTTCAAACCTCAGTCGTACCTCAGGGCTGCGATCAGCCGTGGTTGACTCGGTGGCTTTGGGCCGGAAGGGGAATTTCTCAGACAGCACCTCCGGACGAAACTTGCCATCACATGGCACCAGCTCAGGCTGCTCGTCCAGCCACCTCTGAAAACTCCCAGACTCGCCAGCAGCTAAGTCCCACCACCAGCCCGGCAGCTGAGCGGTCGGTTCTCTAAGCGGGACCGATCGCGTAGGGTCGTCGGCCGCATTCTCAGAGGATCTGAAATAACCCAGGCCGGCCTGCAGGTTGCACCCGAGGTGGAACGCAAGCGACCTGCGGAGGAGCTTGTTGATGGCAGGAGATGAGGCACGGCCTTTAACCAAGGCCCCAAGGGCGACCTGCGAATCGAGGCCGCACAAAAAGCGCACACCACACATGCGGTTCCCTATCCGCTCCTCCAGCCGTAGAAACCCTGCCAGCTCCTTTAGATTGATGTGTGTAGAGACTCTGGCTTTGGCGACAAAGAGCTGCCGATATTTCAAGCCCGTCGCGAGAAGCCGCCAGACAGGGTGCGGCGTGTACACGTCATCGCCGGGCAATTCGTCCTCGGGTTCGAGAAGGCTTTTCGCTTTCAGCCAAGCCTGTGGCTCCGAAAGTAAGCGAGCCCACGCACCACGCTGTAAGGAGTGCCGGTAGAACTCGCGGGCCGAGAGGGCTGGGAGGTCTGCCTGAACGGCTGCGATTAAATAAGCCGAGGCATCAGTGGCGAAGATACTCTCAAGCACTTGAGCACGCAAGTCCACCACGCAGAGCTGCCCGAGCAAGACCCAGGACCACATCTCGTCACGAAGGCCAGCTGACAACCGTATGATGTCATGCTCTTCGGTGTGGGTCAAAGCTTCGAAGCAAACCTGGAGGGCCGCAAGGGTTCTCCTTCGCAGAAGAAAAACCGAAGTCCAAGACCCGACCAGCGACTGGAGCAAGGAGTTGCTGCATAAGCCCAGGCAACAAACCCGAGAAGTGATCAGCATCAGGGGTCCCAATCGCGAAGGGCTGGCTCTCAGGAGACCATCGGTCCCGTGCAGTTTAACACCCCAGAACGTGGCCTCCTCAGCATCGCGGTGCCCCTTTTCGGGGTGCGCCAGCAACCCAGCGGCTGCGTACGCCGCGTGGGCGCTCTCAAGTCTCTTTGCTCCGCGTCGGGCGTCGGCCGGGGCGGCGACCTGCGAGGCGACCTTCTCCAAGATGAGCAAGTCGTCCAAGACGACGCCGATCGACATCAAGCCGCGCGGCGGCGGAAAGTTGGGCAAAAGCATCTCCTCCTCGCGAAGAACACCATGACGGTACAACACACCAACATGTGAACCCTGAGCGAATTCCACGGCGCTGGCATCTCCCATCGCTAAGGTCGCCAGTGCGACCGTAACGCGACCCTTTTCATCGGCGAACTCCTGGCAGTCTCGCCCGAACACATCCCGGGCCTCGGCAAGAGTCAAGCCGCCGTGGAGAAGGTTTTTCTCAAGGCGCTGCCCAGACACCCTGAAAAGGTAGAAGTAGTCTTTGAGGTCTGCCGTAGAGATCCGCAAACTCTGCTCGCGGGATTACCACCCCAAGGAGAGCCGAAGCAGAGGCCATCGTTGCGGCCCAGTAGCCAGGGCATCCGCCTAAGGTGTTCGTAGGGCGGGCGTCCAGCACCAAGCGATCTCGCTCGAGGTCCTTCGGCACGGCGAACATGCCTGCTGCAAAAGGGACCCTCTCAGGAGGAACCCGCACCGGCGACAACCGGCCGCAACCTGCCAGCAACTTATACAAAGCTAGCCGTTGTCGTGGCTCGGCAAGAATCTTCACCTTAGGCAGGGGAGGTGGCGGCACGAGTGGCAGCTCAAAGTCCAGTGGCCGCTCAAACCGGGCATAAGTCTCCTCATCAAGGTAGCCGTACGGGGAAAACGAAGGAGGCGGAGGGAACTTCAACCTTTCTGCCCGGATGGGCTTGGCGGTGCACGGAGGAGCTTGCTTCAGCTTTCCGCACACCTTCCCGAAATCCAGCCGCGGTGCGGCACTCACATCATCTCCTTTCGCCCTTTCTTCATCCAAGCTATGCGCGCACGCAGGCGCGCGAGTTGCAAAGTAACCGTTGGTGCTCTCAAAACTGCTCATAGCTCTGCTGAGGGCCGCGAGGGTTCGGTGTTGGTCCTCGGCTTTCACGGCAGACCGGCCCATCAGGGAGGCATCGAGCTTGAAAAACGTAGTGCGATCTTCGACGAGGCGCTCAAGAGTCCAGAGTGCACGGCGCTGTCTGGCCGTCAAACGAACATTCGCCATTATCTCTGCTGGGGCGGTGCTAGGGAAACCCAAGTTAAACCAATTAAGCAAAGCAACAATTAAGTTGATCCGCTCGCGTTTCCAAGCTCCCTTCTGCACGGCACCTGGTTGGAAAACAGCAGGGTAAGGCAGGGGCATGGGCCAAGTCGAAGACGTAGGTGCCGGATGGTTGCCGGCAGAAATCTGGCTGCGGAGAAATTGGGAAAAGGGGCCTTTGTACCTCAAGATAAGAGAGGGCAGGCTGTGCCAAAAGCCAGGCAAGGAGAAACTCGGAGCAGCGGCGCCCGGGACCGCATTGGTCTGCTCAGAGGAAGTGGGAAGAAAGTCATGCGAGGAGGGCCCATTCGGCCCGTGGTTGTCGTAATCACCGGCTCGCGAGCGGGATTGTGAGGGAGCAGCTTTGCAAGGTTCGCGCCCTCGACGAGTCGCGGAGCTCCGCTCAGCACGTACGTTGCTCACTTCTTTGGCTTCGGCTTCGGCTTGGGTCGCGGCTTGTCGGTCTCCTCGTCGTTGTCCTCGGTCGGGGGGGCATAAGCCTTCTGTCGACCCAGCTTGTCCCGTTTTTCGGCGAAGTCGAGCTGGTCTTTCAAGTGGCCCAGCGCCAGTTCCGCCCAGCGCGGGTCCAGCAAGCGCGAATACACTTGTTCGGTGTCGCGCACGTCGTGCTGTCGAAAGCTGTGCATAGGAACCGGGGGTTCCAATGACAGCTCGTTGGCAAAGCTCCATGCGCCCTTGTCCACTCCGACCTGGTCCAGCATCAGCAACAGCACGTTGAGCCTCGCTTCCGTCTCCGCATAGCGCTGATGACGGATGGCGTCTAGCGCTCCAGCCGCCGCCCAAGCTGCCTTGGCCAGCGTGTTGTAAGGCCCGATCCTGGACCGATACTCCAGCCATGCTCGGGCCGACGACCTCGTAGGAACGTTGGGCTGGTTCATGCCCATCAAGTCCTCGGTCATGTGACCCTCGATCACTCGCGAGATCAGAGCTGGGTTCTCGGTAAGGGCCTGTCTCAAAGCCCTCCTGGCGGCCGCGTTCCGTCTGGGCACGGCGCCACTTTCCAGAGATCCACTTGACATTCCGGAGCCGCCGTCCAACAGCGCATCCAGATTGGAGGCCCCGGCTGCCTTCTTCACTTTGTCCTGGGCGAGGCTTTCCACAACTTGGGTCAGCCGATTGAGCACCGTCCCGAGCTTGTCCCCATTCTCCTCGTCCCCTTGGGCTGGATCCACCGGGGCGACTGCCCCGGGCACACCGTCGTCTTCTGACTCCGAAAGCCCCAAAGGCTGTCGGGCAGGAGGCGGCTGTACCCCTCTTCGCCCGGCGGCTGGTCCCCGCGGGGCGTTTCCAACCAGACGATCCATCTCGGCCAGGGCGGCCCTCGAAACGCCGGCGTCGTGAGCCGCCTGAGCCACCCCGGGGTCGAGGTTCACAAGGTTGAGATCGCCCGGTGACGGCCGAGGCGCCGGGTCTGCTCCGGCAGGTTCGGCTTTGCGCTTCGCTCGAGCTTTCAGCGCGCTCGGCCCAGTAGGCGGCGCCAATCCACGCCCTTGCTCCCCAGCCTCCCGCTCCATGATCACCTTGAAGCCCGCCGCAATCTTGCCGAGGGCGTCCTCCAATGTGGCCACCCGATCCGCCATCTGTGACCCAACGTGGTCGGCCGGAGGACCTTCGGCAGCGGAGTGGAAGGTGAACACATCGCTGATCGCATTGGCGAGGCCTTGCCCGTGAGGCACCAGTGGCAGGCCCCGATCGTCTTGCCCAAAAGGATGGTCGGCTCCGGTACTCAAGTAGTCGACGTCGGCCTCTAGCTTTGGGTCCAAATAACCCACCCAGAGCTTGACGTCCCCGACTGCCACGTCCGAGTAGCGATCGTCGGCACCCGTGGCACCAACCTCGAGGGCCGTCGCCTTCACAAGCGCTGAACGAGGCAACAGCCTCTTTGGTGGCCTTTTGTGCCACACGCGTCCGGGCACGGCCACCAACATCTTCTTGTCCTGCTCGGTCAGCGCGACGATCTCGCAGGTACTTCGCGTCCCAGCTTCGTCCGCAGGGAAAGAAAGGAGACCCACCACATACTCCAGGTCGGGCCCCTCGGGCGTCATCAGAACATAATCCCTGAGGCCTCCACCATCCTCCGGCAAGGCTGCCGGCTCCTCCTCTTCTCCCACGTGTTCCTCCGCTGTGGTCGCCATCAGCACCACACGGGGGCTGCGAGATTAGCAGAAGAGATGACAGCGTCCAGATCACCACGGCTAGGGAGCCCCACCAAGATAGACTGGCCGAGATCCGACCCTCTCTTGGTGATCTCCTTGACCGGGGCGAAGCTCTGGTAAGCCCGCGGAGGGTCGAAGTCCTCCCCTTCGTAAGATCGCAGCACCAACCAAAACTTGGAGCCTTGAGGCAAGCGGTCACGCCCCGAGGTGCCTCTGTGCTCTCCGTTTCGAGCTCGCAGCAGCCACAGCCCGATTTCGCGGCAGGCTGCGTCTCGTTGGGATCTGGGCAGAGGCGGGATATCCTGAGTCCCAGGGCGAGTCGCTGGACTCGCGGGCCCACGGCCCTGCAAGGGGTATCCGGTAGAAGAGGTTGAGGCCGATCCTGGCGAGCCGCGAGCTGGCACCGAAACGGCAGGCGAATGGGGCCTTTGCACTGAACCCGCCCTATCAGAAACTAACTCAAAACCTTCGTCGCTCACCCCAAGCAAGTTCCTCAAGTGTGCTACCTCCAGCTGCAACCTTGCTACCTGGTCCTCAAGGAGCTCGAGGCGAGCTTGCATTCAAGGAAGCCGGCAGGCCAAGTCCAAGCCGAAGCACACGGGGCTTAGGGTCCTAGGGGACTACCTAAGGCACCGCGATTAGGGGTAGGGCGCCGAAGCGAACACGCAGGGAGGGTCTTAGCAGTGCCTGCCTAAAGAACCCTATAATAGGAGCTTTCGAGGTGGAAAAGGCGCAGGAGGCGCCGATGCAGGGCTGCTCGCAGCAGCCAAAGAGTCTCGAGGGCCGGCAGAAGCAAGACCCCTATGCCAACCCCTAGCAGAAGAGAAGACCAGGAGAAGTCCTGAGACAGAGGGCAGGGGAGACACTCGGGAAAGACCGGAGGGTCAGACAAGAAGCGACCGAGAAGGGCAAGGAGGCTTCCGGACGACAGACCGGCACCCGACGCGAGAGCTATGTCACGCATGCACTCGACCCACAATATCTGCGTCACGCCGGCAAAACATGAGGGAGCATGTAAACCGGAAATTCAACGCTACGTTCGCAATCTCTCTCTCTCGCTGCTGTTGCAACTTTAAACGCACTGGAAGTCGGACGAAGCAAGACTAGCGGTAGCCGTCGTAGTCGTAGTTAGTAGGTAGTATGTAGTAGTTAGTAGCGAGTAGCTGGTAGCCAGTCGCTAGTAGCTGGTCGCGAACAGCTAGTAGCCAGTAGTTCGTAGCTCGTAGTTCGTAGTTATAGTGAATACTTCGTAGTTGGTCGCGGTAGTGGTAGTCGTCGTGGTGGCAGTGATGGCGCCTTGCAGTCCGCAATTTCTGCTGCGCGATTCACGTCCCGCCGTAGGGCTTTAGGGACTTTAGAGCTGGGGGGTGTCCTCCGGCTTCAAGACGGGGTCTTTGTAAGGTTCAGGGCCAATTAAGGCTTAGGGGTTTAAGGCTTAGGGGTCGTGACAAGTCCAAAAGCACAGGGGATGGCTCGCAGGACGGGTTTCGAGCAATTCATGGTGTATTCGCAGCAAGTCCTTTAGCAGTGCTAGGAGTAGCCGCCGTCATCGCGTTTGTTGTAGAGGTAGGTAGTTGGACTAGCCGTGAGAGCAATATTTGCGGCTTGCGGCGGCGTCCACCGGAGCGAAGCGCTCCTCCTCCCGGCTTTGAATGGTCCGGTGAAAATAGGGGCTTTGGGGCTAACGGGTTCAAGAGGCCCCTTACTGTGTCGCTTCTTCACGTACGAGGGATTTAAGCTTAAGGATCTAAGGCTCAGGGTTCGAGGCTCGAGGGCTCAAGATGCTGGCTTCGGATTTTTTCAGGTCTTGGGTGTACTCCGTGATGTCTGGTCCACCGTAGTACTTTTTTGGGTTCTCGATTTTTTGGAGGGACCTGTAAACTATTGCAAGCTGGGCTTGGGGATTCAGATGTAGGAGCATGCTGCTTTATGAGTTTTCGGGTCAAGGAGCGAGGCGTCCGCGCTTCGGTCTTAGCATTCGATGGCGGGACGTAGGGTGATCCTTTTGATCAACTGTTTACGCCTCCTGCCCCTCACTTTCTTGTAACACACAGGTAGCCTTGTTGGTTCTTCTGGGTGAGAGGTGTTTTCGAATGGCAAGTGGTAGTGGTGGTGGTAGTGGTGGTGGTGGTGGTGGTGGTGGTGGTGAAACAGGACACCCCTCCAAGGCTGAAGCAGCAGAATCTTTTTCGCGAGGTTGCAGAACACATCCAGCAACTTCAAAGCTTCCAGCACTGCCTACGAAGCTCCGTCACCTTGTGAGAGAAGACATCAACGGCTGCAACACAGCATCGATGAAGGTTCTTGTGGCTGGCCATCCGTCAAACTCCATGCCGAACTGAACCGGCTTGTCTCGGCCAGCCAAATCAGCCATGAGGGTCCGAATGTCCGCCTTCTGAGAAGCCTGACTGAATACTGGCTGTCCCAGGAAATCGATCCACCTAAAGTCTGCTCCGAGCAGAACTACATTTGCCAGGCGTGGGTCTCCATGCACGAAACCGTTTCGGTGTAGTTGGCGCAAGGCTTCGACCAAATCTCGCCACCTCGCTTGGGCGATGTCCACTGGTACCGGGGCACCAACTTCACTGAGGATGTGGAACCATCCCAAGAGCTTGCCTTTATCTACAACCTCAATACAATTTGATAAAGGAGACACGACTGGGCAGCCCTTGTCGTAGGCCTTCTTCATGACTTCGACCTCCGCTGCAGGGCTGAATTTGAATGAGGCGGCGCTTGCAAGAACGGCCTTGATGGCAATGTGATTTCCCTTGGGGTTTCCCTTTCGTTCAGCTTCCAAGACACGTCCGAATGCTCCTCTGCCAAGGAAACGAACAGGAACAGCGCAAGCCTGTCGCAGAGATTCCCGCAACAATCGTTCCCACGGAGAGTGCTGAGAAAAAAATCGCGTAGCACCTCTTTCGCTCCAGTGTCGGACCAAGCCCCATAAATCCTTTGTAAGAGTGCTTTGCGGGTGCTCTCTTGCCCAGCTACGTGGATAAGCTCGAAGCCTTTCTTGTCAAATACCATGCCCTTTGAATGCTCAGAAGGAAGACGGCAAAGATATTCATACAGCTGACCACGGCCATCGTCTTTGATCACCATCTTCGCTTCAAAGATATCTAAACAGTCCAGCAGCTCCTCGTGCGGTGTGCCAGTTTCTGGCTCTTGGGGATCTTGCCTGTGCAAGATGCATCGGAACAAACCAGGTCTCAGTTTGTTTGCAGGCCAAGTGCGATCTTGCGAGTCTACGATTGTGGAAACATCGACCTCAAGATGGGCAACATAAACTGGACAAGCTCCCTCTCGTTCGACACCATGGCAAGATTGCAAAGTTGCTCTTCATCAAGGACAGGGTTGCCCGTGCCTCCGTGTAGTGTAGTTGTTTTAGTTCTTTTACTTCTTTATCTTCGGCGGCTGACCCATACGCCTCGTTCCACAGATCGGTCCTCGAGACCGTCAGGTCAGTAGCCAATGCTTCCCCCACCGCTGCTTTCAGCATCAACGCCATGTCTTTCAAGGTGCTTTCAACCTGCAAAAACACAACTGATGGTAGATATGATGCTAGCCTATGCTGGAGCAACTTCGCAACAGCCCCTGGAACACCGGCAACGACAACCAGTAAACTCTGATCAACAACAATAACGCCAAGAATGCTTCTCGCTGACACCTCTCGCTCCCTGCCATGCCAAATGCTGTGCAAGCGGGGGCGTCCCTGAGCTAAAAGCAATTTGACAAGAAAAATGTCTTTGGTCAGATCGCCGCAAGCTCAGCACAAGAGCTAAACAACAGCCCACACAGCTGCCCTCCAAAACGGGCGGAGGTCTTTGGACCTCGAAGGTTATGCCCCCGGAAGCGCGGGCCCTGCCCGACCCCGACCCCGACAAAGCAAGAAAGACAACGAAACCGAGGCCTCAGCACTAAGCACAAACGCAGGATTGACAAAACAGGACAGCCGAGAGCCCTCTGCTCCGAAAACCCCTTCCACTCCCCGAAGTGCTGCAAAATGCAGCCAACACAGTGACAGCTTAACGAGGAGGATCCCCCCAAAAAGCAAAATCGGTGGACTGAAACGTGGAAGCATGTGGAAGCGTAGAAGCCCTCAATGCCCTCCGGGCCTGGACTCTGGATGACGTAGAGGACGCGCCCTCAATGCGGACTGGGCTCTTCGAGCTGCTGCCTGCATCAAGTGGCACCTTACCATCCAGGTCCAGCTCGGTGCCGTCGGCCTTGAAGAGCTTGACGTTGGCACGATGGCGGTCACGCATATCAGGAGTGGCCTGGCGGCGCAAGTCCGCGCCAATGGCATCCGCGTCCAGAAACACATCGTAAGAGCCCTCAGCGCCGATCATGCAGCCAAATGCGGCGTTGGCGGCCTGGGACTCCCGCTTGGACAGCAGCTTCCGGCTCTGCATCCTTGACTGAGGCTGCTTTGGCCTCGAACGGTCGTCTTTCCTCATCATCCTTCGCCAAGGCGGCTTTCAACTCTGCCTTGGTCCTGTTGCTGGGGAGACCTCTCGCCCGGCACAAACTTCGCAGTTCGCCCACCATTTGCGCATCGTAGTTCTTGAATGTTAGCTCCGATTCCACTTGTTCAGTCTCCTCCTGAGCCAACCGCACGGCACGGCCCCGCGTGATGGAAACGCGGTTGCGAAAAGCGGCATTTGTTGCCGGCGATAGTGTCCCGGCACACGGCCACCAAAGCCGCAAGAAAACTACGGCCACAGCAAGGGTCCTGTTGTGATTCAAACGCTGCTCCCAGCAATCCAGATTGAGAAAACTGCCTCCACTGATATCTTCAAGGAAATGGGCACCGACCTCTGCAACCGAAAAAGACTGCTAAGTAAAACCGATGAAGAACCTAGGAACCGAAGAGGATTCGGAGCATTTGGGCATGGACTGTTTCAAAGCGACTGGCTCGGCAACGGGGGGCCATGCTGGCTTTACAGCTGGCACGAGCAGAGGCCGGAGAGAACATGTGTAGTCTGGAAAGCTGGCACTGCGTAGGCTTGCGGGCAGCGATCCTGAAGCCCTCGGCGAGGTCCAGCTTCTCAGGGGCCTGACCGGCATTGCTTCAGAACGACACTTGCTGTCACGCGCTATGTAAATATTTGCTGAATGTCTGCAGCTTCGACTGAGCGCCAGGCGCCTCGACCGGGGCATCAAGTTCATGTGAATCTTCAAAGGCTGAACAAGCTCAGGGGCTTGAGGTTTGGTCTGAGGATTCTTAGCTCAGGTATGGGGCTTGGAAGGAGGCTGCCATGGACAAAAGTCACAGCATGGCAAGCCTTCCACGGCGCCTTTCACGGACTTCATTACCTCGCCCCGATTTTCGGGCTTTCGGATAGCGTTTCGGGCGAAATCTTGGCCATGAGACTCCAGCACACGTTGGAAACCTGGGGTCTAAGATGCGGTTTTAGGGTTTTGGGCCTTTCGGGTTAGCAGGGCCCAGCACGTCCCATAATTGGTGCTCCCAGGGCGCCTGCCATGCCTGCTTAACTCGCTGCACACCTCGCGAATTGACGTGAGTCGACTTCTCATTCTCCTTGTACCAGCATTACCGTTAGCCGTTAACATCCACCTTCTGCACTAACTCGATCCAATCTGCTGAGCTCGCAGCATCTGGTCCTGACGAACTGTTCGGGTATGCCAAAGATGGCACCAGATCCTCCAATCGAAAAACTTGTCAGACCACGAAAGTGCACTGGAGACGCTTAACACGAACATTGCCATCGGTCACTCGTGCATTACAGCGGCAGGCGGTCAAGATTGACGTGCCATCTGCCTTGCTCGGTAACATTCTGTGTAAACTGCTGAGAGCTGTGCTACAAGGTCGCAATGTTGGACACAGCATGACACAGCAGGCCTTCTGCACCTTCACAATGGCTCCACCATGTTCCACCTCGAAGCCCTGCAGGGAACACACATCGACAGTTCTCGCCCCTTTCCAATACGTGGATGAGGCAAACCGCTTGCAACATCTTGCAGTAGTGTCAGACTCCGGTTGCAGCCCTGCCTCAACCGGCCCCTCCAATGCCCCATGGCACGCGCAGCTGAGGCCACTTTTGAGAAAACACCATACACTGTCGGATGCTGTTGCAACAACTGAACGCCTGATACATCTCTGGCCTGCATGTATTCTCTCAAGTCTGCGCCAATGTCGTGCCAGCAACTCACACTTTCTTGCATGGATCGACTTTTGTGCTTTGCACTTGCATTTCTCTGGTTTGTCAATTCCCATGCCAAGGCGCTCTGTATGAAGCATTGTCACTTTCGCTCTCTCACCAGCATGCCTGTCTCTTGCGATTTGTTCGAACCTTGTGGTGTAGCTGCACTTATGGCTAGCATCACAGCTTTGCTGTACCACACCTGGGAGTTTCGCGTCTATGCTCAGCGCCACTCGGCAAGTACTTTTTCAGCCTTTCAGCAGTGCAGTTTGCCCGACTGGAGGTCGAAAGTGGAGGCGGACTTGTTGTGGACCACCCACAGCCACCACAGCGTCCAGACACTTCACTCCTTGCTCCTGCAAACTGCCGCGCCTGACAAAGGCAACATGACTGCCGCGGCCAAACGAACACTAGCCCAGAGTGGTCAGGGACATATTGCACCAGGAGAATGCAAAGATATGCTGTAACGATGCTGGTTCATGAGCTACTGCTCATGCGACAGCTTCTGCCATTGCTTCTGCCGGAGATCACAGTAACTTCCCGCATGAGATCAGATAGGTACATGCAATGGATGATGAAGGTACGTTTGATTAACTGTCTGGACCGTGCGCTGCACTGTGATCTGCCAGAGCGGACGAGATAGGCCAAAATTACTCGAGATAATTGAATTCCTCTGGCAGGCCAAAGGTTGAGTTGAAATGAGCTGCACTCACTTCACGGCGGCGTTCCCTGCAGACAAGTCGATGCAATTGGGCATGCCGTTTCGTGTTGAAACACAGCTCCAGATGCAGTGTGAGGCCAGCCTGAGGAAAAGGGAGCGAACTGCACCTGGAGACTCAAAAATGTTCTGACTGCACAGGAATAGATATGGCATCGATCCCACTTTTACGGCATTGAAGCAAGGCTTTAACTGAACCACCTCAACCGTGTGACTCAAGCTTTACGCAATCTGCGTCTGCCTTCCATGACCTTCCCGAACTGAGATCCTGACAAATTCGCAGCATCACCCTCCGTGCTCTGCCCCGCGCCCTCTCAGCTGTGCAAGATTGGTGCTCGGGCAGGGCAGGGATGGGCAGGGCATTCGGACTGGTGGTTGCAATGCCCTTACAAGCGCTACTCGACTCGCTCACGACAAGCACATGTCTTCCCACATACCCTTGTTCACTGCACGCCACTGTCCGAATTTCAAATTTTCAAAAACTCACACTGGAAAAGTGAGTAGAAAAACAATGCAACTATGCAGCGCTGGCTATGCTATGTTTGTGCTACGTGTGATAAGTGATAACCCAAGCCTGATGCATGTCACATACACCCACAGCCACCCACCCACCCACCCACCCTCCCTCCCTCCCCCACCTGGAAGGTGCACTGCACCGCATTCAACATCTTGATCTGGTCGCGATCGGAGAACCTGCGCGGCGCCTGGACACCCCACACCGCCAGCTGCTTGAAGACGTGGATCTTGGAGATCGTCTGGTCGAAGTCAAAGTACAACTGCGCGCCGCCCGGCACGCCCTGTAGGCTCTGGGCTGGCTTCGGAGTTGCAGCAGGCTTTGGAGCGGAAGGAAGAGCGGCAGTGCCGTGTCTTTAGGGGGCGGTACGTTCTTGGCTGTGGCCTTGTAGACACCACTGAAGCCGTCTGGCGGTGGCAGCAATGTAGCCACGGCCGTTGCAGGTGCCATTGCGTTCACCGCTGGACCTTTCTTTGCCGCCTCCACAATACCCTTTGCACCGCCCCTCCGCTTCAGCTCCCCCATCTCCCTCTCCATCATCTCACGCCTCTCCGCCACGAACGCACTGCAACAAATGCCATGCAGGTATGTTATCTCCTGTGGACCATCCTCCGCCAAGCACGTCTCATCCACAGCTAAAGGCTCCTTCAACACGAGACTGCGGAGCAAATTTGCAATAGACCCGCGCAGCTCGCAATCTGGGTTGCCCTCCAGCTCGGATGGTTCCGGGTTAGCACGGCCGAAGTCGGACTCGCCCTGGAACTGGCCCATGCTGAAGACGTGCTCGAAAAACTGCAGCAGCCCCTCATGCTCCAGGAGGTAGCGGGCCCCCACGTCACCCTTGGCGATGATGCTCAGCCGCGTGCCCGAAGCCTTCAAGTTGGAAAAGAAGTTGCCCAGCTCGCGCACGTGGTCACGTCCTGGGGGCATGTGACACATGTTTGATGCCACGGTTGTCGGATTCTGTGGATGCTTGGGATGTCAGTTTAAATGAGTCCTATTCCCAGCTACTTGAACAAATGTTAGCCTTGTGCCCTCCACGCCTCCTTCCCGCAAATATAACTTTACAACCAACCGAACGCGCCACCAATCTAGAAAAACACATCCAGCTTCAAGCGGAATCATGGCGCACATACACATGATTAATAATTGAATCGACGGCAAAATGCTATGAAATGCCTGCATATGCAATGAAGCATGACACCATGCGGATGGCACGGCATCTAACACGGACACTCGTGCAAGGCGCATCCTCCCAATTTGCGGGGCGTCCACGATGCCCTCTGAGCACCAGCCGTGCCCGGAATCACGTGGCTAGAGCTGCCCTGGAAGGTGCACCGCGCCGCATTCCACATCTTCAGCCGGTGGATTTTGGCGCGAGGCGCCTCGGCGCCCCACCCCGCCAGCTGCTTGAAGTCTTGCGCTCGGTAGCCTCGCGGGGGGTGTGGGTCTGGGGTTTAAAGGTTTCGGATTCAGTTTAAGGCTTAGGGCTTTGGGTTTTGGCTGCGACAGGGTTTGAGGTAAAGGGGTAAAAGAGAAAAACTGAGGGCCCGACTAACAACAAGGGCAGCCGCTTTGGGTAGGTCGGGACCGGATCCACAAGTGCTTGTTCTGCAGGCCGGTGAGAAAATACTTCCAGACCTGCCAAGCATATTCCCAGGGCTTGCGGCAACAATACTTGACTTAATCATCATTGTAATATTAGGTGGGCTTATTGGGCTTCGTATCTAGATGTATTTTCAATAAATTACTAAGGAAGCCCAGAAGAGTTCTTAGGCTGCAACCGTTCGAATACAAAATTTCGAAATTCTAGTGAACTTTGTTATGAACAGGCCCCAGAAGAGGACACATCAAGGCAAATCTAAATGCGAACGAGGCCCAGAAGGAACTCATTACCGTGTGGCCTTTGAATTAGATTTCTAATACACTTTACACATATGGGGCCAGGGGATTTCTCAGAGGAGGATCTGTTAGGGTGCGGCCTTTTGATATCAATTTCTAGTTAGATTGAAATATGAAATTGAAAACCCAGAAGAGGACATGTTAGGTTGTGTCCTCTTAATATATACTTCACACAGCCCGGGTGTGGCCTTTTGATATGAAACTCCGATTGGAAGCATTTACGACAGAAGCCCAGATGAGGATGTCTTCGGGTGTGGTCTTCTGATATAAAGTTCGAGTTCCAATAAATTTACATTGCGCTATCCCAAAGACCTCCACAGGAGGATTTCTCTTGACCTTATTTGCGCACAAACAACGGACGAGGCCCAGAACCTCCCTCCCAGACCCACCGCGGTAGATCATCGGGGGTGAAATATGAACTTTGCTTCATGCTGACCATTGCCTGTTCAGGTTCACTCTGCAAAGCATTCTGCTGCCGTGTCAGGTTCTAGCGGGATAGTACTCTTTAGCCTGCGCTAGTGAAAAGAGAGAGGCCGTGGTGATCTGGTAGCCTGTACCGTTGTGAGGGTTACTACGTGCGACTTGCATCTCAACGTGGTAGCGGAACTCCCGGATAATCCCCGGAGGCTTTCCACCTGGAGAGGTACCGGGAGGACTTCCCGGTCAGGCACTCCACCTGGAGAGGTATTCCTGAAGTCTCAAATCCGGAGCCCGATCTAGGAAGAAGCGATGGCTAGCCAGACCGCACTTGCTGAGCCCTACGATGGTGAGTTCGACGACGACGTCTATGGCGAATCCTATGCGACAAACCAGAGCAGGACAATGGCAGAGTTGCACATCCAACAGGTGACGACAAAAGTACCACCTTCATACGATGGTAGAAGCAGTTGGTTTGCTTATGAAGATGCAATCGACGATTGGTGTGACATCACGGAGCTGGAGGCAGAGAAGCGAGGCCCAGCTCTACGAAACAGACTAGAAGGTGAAGCAGCAATTCACAAAAGACTTCTTGACAGAGAGCGACTGAAGGATCCCCAGAATGGAGTCAAGTACTTCAAGAGCTACTTGAGGCCGCTCTTCGTGAAAGGTGCGGCAAACGTCTTCCTCTACCGGTTCCAGCAGGTCATGAACCTGCACCGTGGCAGTGGAGACATGCTCAGATGGATGACAAGGTTTCAGTTGTCTCTTACATGCTTGCAAGAAGCATGGAATGACACCTACGCGCCGATCACAAATCCACAAGGACCTGAAGTACAAGCCTTTATGAGTACCCTTCCGCAAGATGAGCGGCAGGCTATCACCCCAGAAGAAGCGATGGCCAGAGCCAACACACGCTTGCAAGCAATGCACGCGAGCACCATTCCATTGAATGTCAACCTGGTGGCACTCCTCTTCGTCAGCCTTGCAGATCTGACACAGGACCAGAGACAGGTGTTGACATCACTGATGGCGCACAGAAACAGAGCTCTAGCCGATTACCGTCTAGAAAAGCTCCGAGAAGTCTACTTGGAGATTTTCTGTACTACGAAGACCTCTGTTGAGATCCTCTACTTGCTCCTTCAGGACACGGTGGCAGGAAGTCGACGAGGGCTATGTGGACGAGCACGAAGGCTACTGGGTAGAGGACGAAGAAGATGGTGCAGAAGGCTTTCTCGAGAGCTACGACGATGTGTTCTGGGTGTATGATGATGATGATGATGCAGCCGCTTGGTTCCAAAGAAGGTTCCAAGGAAGGAAGATTAGATGAGGCAAAGGAAAAGGAAAGAGAAAAGGAAAAGGACGTGGCAAAGGACGTCGACGCTTCTTCAAGAAGCGCAAAGGAAAAAGCCATATTGCAGGAGAGCAATCCGAAGCCTGGCAAAGTGAATGGTGGCAAGATGGTTCCTGGGAGGATCAGCAGTGGTCTGATCAACAATGGCCCTGGGAAGCCAATGACGAATCTTATTCCTTCAAAGGAAAAGGCAAAAAAGGGAAGAAAGGCAAACGCAAAGGAAAGTGGAACAAAGATGGTGGAAAAGATCACTCCAAAGGAGATTCCGCCAACACTGCCGCAGTTTCTTCCGAAGTTGCCGGCAAAAAGAACCAGAGCTTCTACACCAGCTTCTTCTGCTTTGGCAACCTCCAGCCACATGAAGAAGTGTACAAAAATCATCACAGCTACATGTCAGTTCCCGAGACTGATGCAGCCTTTCTTGCACATGATCTTTCTCCGACCTCAATGGTGCTTGATCTTGGTTGCACAAGAGCTATGACGTCTCGAAGTTCAGCAGAAGCACTCATGAAGTTCTGTGACCAAAATCCACATGAAGGACTTTGGTATCGACTGGAAAACACCACCTCCTTGTTCACCTTCGCCAACTCAGAGTCAGCGAACGTATGATAGAGATTACAGCATCCAGTCTACCTCTTTTGACATCGTGGAACAAGGACATGTTCCCATATTGATGTTTCTTCCTCAGATGAGGAATCTCAGGTTCAAGTTTGAACTTGATCCGGAAAAGGCGTTGCTGAGCAGCCCAGCGTTGGGAATCAAGAACATGAAGTTGAAGGTGGCCAGAAGCTCGCACTTGGTACTAGACCTCCTCGACGTGTGCCGACATATGTGGAATGTGAGATTTGAGCAGCACAAGAAGGTGAGTTTCTTCACCAGTCACATCCACTATGAGTTCGGCTACAACCTTGGAGAAGTTGGAAGCTCTCTACCTGGAGAGGCACCGACTGAAGATGAGGCCTTGGTTGTAGAAGACGAATGGGTCTTGGATGAGTCCAAGATGGAGCTTGTTCGTGTCCACAAGAAGAAAAGGAAGCAATCTTATGTTCCCATGAAGGGCACAACGCCAGTACCTTTGGAGTACTTAAAGCCATCCCGGAGGATAATCCTCGAGTTCTCCGATGACAAGAAGGAAACGAAGGATGACTACTGGAAGGACGACATTGGCAAGTCGCCTCCACGTACTGCTGAGTTTTGGAAAGGTAGAACAATTTTTAAGATTTTGCCTGGATGTATCGAGAACCGTACCTCCGTTCCAGCTAAATCAGCAGCATCAGGAAGGAAGAGCCGAGGCTCTCCTGATGACGTCATGAGCAGCAAGAAGCTTCAAGTTGCAAAGGAAAAGCCAGCTCCTGTCAAGGATTCAGGGAGCGCTCCATCTGGAGTGGTGCCTGGACCAGAGCTTGGACCGGAAGATATTAATCCGCCGAGTCCAATTTATGAGCCAAGTGAGCAAGGACAGGAGGACCTGGCTCCTCGAGAAGAAGCACCGGAAGCTTCAATGGAACTTCCTCAGGCCTCTCCGGTCCCTGGGAGCGCATCGCTAGAACCTGGGAGGATTTCGCTCCCACTTCCTGGTCACGAGGTTGCTCGTTCTTCTCCTCAGTACCAACGCATGCTCGAAAAGCTGAAAAATGATGTGGAGTTGTACAAGTTGCATGTGAAGCATTACCACATGAGCTCTGCACAGTTCAGACGCAGAACTTCCATGCTTGGCCTGCCAGGAGATCAATTGGCCTCGAACCTACTGAACCTACTCGAGCTGATAGATGCACTTATGCTGCATATGAAGGAATTGACAAGCAGAAGTCTAAACACAAGAATTATCTTGTTGAGGAGTCCCCTGAAGAGGAAAGCTCTCTACCTGGAGAGGTTACAAGGAGAGGTATCCTCTGGTGACTATCTCAAGACTGTCGCGATTCAAGCCATGTCATGCTACGCATATGATGAAGAAATGCGTTCATCTTCCGACACAACGGAAGAGAGATCCTACATGTCCAATGAGGATATCTCACGGTGTCATACTCTCAAGCCCATGGTGGAGTGCGCTTGGAGACCAGTCACAGACAGCAAGCTCCTAGCTTTCCTTGGCGGAGTTGCCCACAAGAAGAGAGGTTGGTTCCCCTTTGAGAATGGCCATGCTCTTGTTTCTCACAGAGCTAAGGCACTTAGAGGACCAGAGCCAGCCTACAAGATCAAGGACTATCCTTGGAGGATCTTCATGATACTTAGGAAAGGCACCTGGTGGATTGTGGAGAGAGCCAAGGATATGAGGAATGGAGGTGATCTTCCATGCATCCTTGAAGAAGAAGAAGCTGAAGTCCTTGTTACCTTGTTTCTTCCTGAGAAAGCTTCATACAAGGTTGAGAGCTTGAGTGAACTGTCTCCTGAGCTTGTTGACCAGTTGTTGGAACATTTTGTCGATCCTGTTCGTGGAAGCCCTGCCAGAGGCAGGAAGACCATAGGAGTAATGAGTTTGCATGTTGATGACTTGATCATCACAGGCACTCCTGAATTTCTCGAATGGTTCCTGGACAAGATTAAACAACAGTTCACAGTTGGCCATGAAGACAAGAATGACCTTACCTTCACAGGACAGCGTGTCAGATGGGTGTTTGATTCGAACAAACAAAAGAAGTATATCTCTATTGATCAGAAGCTTTGTGTTTCTGAGCTTGAAGAGATTGTTGTTCCCAAACATCTCAAAGACACGGATCCTTGTGAGAAGGCATTGCGTACCTCGTATCGATCCTTGCTTGGAAGCATCAATTGGTTGCAGTCACGTACTCAGTCTCAAGCCTGCTATCAGTTTTCACGTCTTGCGTCAGCCAGTGCAGCTCCTACGGTTGGACACTGCAAGGAGCTGAACAAGTTGTGTAGGCAGATCAGGAATGAAGAAGTAGAGCTACGTGTTTGGCCAGTCAAAGGTTCACCGAGGATCTTAGGTATTCCTGATGCAGCTTTCAGG